ACTGGGAGAATGTTACAGCAGGAGAGAAATTACCAGGATTATTTACATATTCTTTCATGTGATGTTCCGGAACACCGTTCTCTGTTGCAATAGCTAAGCTGCTTCTGTTATTTGGACTAATTTATTAAGTGGCATCATGTATATCACTGCACTATGAAGTGATATCTATTCCTCAAAGTCCTACATCCTTTCTTTTTAATTCTGGGAGAATGTTACAGCAGGAGAGAAATTACCAGGATTATTTACATATTCTTTCATGTGATGTTCCGGAACACCGTTCTCTGTTGCAATAGCTAAGCTGCTTCTGTTATTTGGACTAATTTATTAAGTGGCATCATGTATATCACTGCACTATGAAGTGATATCTATTCCTCAAAGTCCTACATCCTTTCTTTTTAATTCTAGTACTTCTGGTTAGACAGTATGCCTTCTTTTGTACATGAAATATACTTAGTACTACCACAGATGTATAATGTAAATAGTCACTAAGGACTGTACATGTTAATTCTTGTACAAATATTCTAAGAGTGTGAAAACAGGAGGAAAAAATAACACAAAAAAAATTTATTGGGGGTTGACCTTCTTATGCTTTTTGGCAAGTGGTATATTAGTGATAATTCTAAGTATCTTATTCCTTGAAGAGATTGTCCAGGTGGACACTTACACTTCAGGCGATTGTATGCCACAAGCAATGAGAAAAGACAGTTTATCTTCATAAATGCATATGAGGGAAATCTGCAAACTTCAGTTTTACCCCTCAGTATTCCAACTTTAGTCGTACGTTATTTACTTTTCTCTCACCCCTCCTTTGCCTTTTCCCCTTCTCCCTGTTTTTCTAGTCCTTGGGCTTGCCCAGGCTCACCTTAACTCAGGACATGTAGATTCTGTTGTCTTTTTACTTCTGGAGGTTGTCTTTTCAGAGTTCTTGGGGTGTCATCCCTATCGCTTTTCTTAAGGCAGGATTCTGTTTGTACTGCAGGTTACAATTTCCATCTTTGGATCCACACTCCTTGAGTATACTGCCTCAGTGAAATTCACCTATTAGATGTGTGCCAAATCTGTAGTCCCTCAATGCCCAAGAGAGCAGAGAAATGACTTTTTCATCTGCAGAAATTCCTTCTGGAAAAACCAACAGACTCCATGTCTGATGTGGACGCTGAAAAAGTATGTGTAGGAGGGTATATGTTCCAGGCACACTGTCTTACAATTCAAATGCCAGTCAAGCCTCAGTTCTGCTGTAGAGACACTAAGCTAATCCTCTCCAGATATCATTGCCCCCTAGATCTCCCAGCCCCTGGGGGCTACCAGAGGGCTTCTTAAAAGTCTGGAGCTCAGATAGATGGCACATACATTTGACAGAGCTTTACTTAAGGATGTGAGAATGACTGTAACAGGTCAGATCAGGGGTCCGTTTTGCCCAGTATTCTGCATCTGACATGGCCATGGGTGGTTATCTACAGAACATTAAGAACAGAATAAGCAAATATGATTCTTCCCTGAATACTGTTTTTAGATTTGAATTTCCTGAGCAGGATGTGCTTTATGTCTATTTTGGAAATTTTCAGTGGATCTCTCCTTCAAATACTTGTTCAGTCTCCTGGTTTTAACACATGTATATTTTTTGCACCAACAGCATCATCTGGCAACGTGCTCTACACACCTACTAATTTTTTCTTTGAACAAACATGCTCTTTTGTTTGGCTTGAACTTGATTCCTGACAGTGTCATTTGTGCTTTCTAGTTCTTGCATTGGAAGAACTAGGTTTTGAAATGCTGGTTTCAGTGAACTCAGCCCAGTTTGTAAGCAATAGTCTGTGATCCCAAGTCCATCTATTTCAACACTGACCAGAGAGCAGGTATGCCTTTCTACCTAGAATGGCTTCTGGGTATCTGGACAGTTTTAGAGTTTTCCTGGATCCTGCTCAGAAAGATACAATAAGAGTTACCCAATAAATATAATACTTTTTTTTTTAAGAACTCCTCATTCCTGTGCATTAACAGTCATTACTTTTCCAGTATGAATGTGAGTTATTACCTCTTTGTGCTGTATCCTATGATATCTTCTGTAAGAGTAATTGCTGAAGATGAATTCTTCACCACCTGTGAAAGTACAAATACAGCCTTACGAAAACAGATATACTTGCTGGTTTGAGAGCTGGAAAGATAAGGACCTTATCATGGTCTATTTTGTTCTGAAGATGACAATAAAGGCAAAAAGTATGTATAGTCAGCATGAAAGAGTGCAAAATAACTACAAAGCATGATGTATTTTATGGCGCAAATGATCTTAAAGAGTTACCTAAATAACAATTGTTGGGTTTGTTGCCATAAAGTGTAAGTTGACTAAAGTTTTTCTTGGTAACGTTGGTTTTGTTGTGTAGCTGAACTCGTAGATGAATTCATTTTGTTGTTTTTTTTTTTTTAAAGCTATGGAAGAACTGGATGGTGATGTAGTGAGGATTTCTTCAAGAGGCAAGTTTGCAGAAAGAGACATTGTGCAGGTGGGAGAGAAAATTTACTCTAATAGTTAGATTTTACTGATCCTGTTTATTTTGAATTCTTGTTTCTGTCTATATTCCTGCCTTTCATTTTACCTTAGCACTGACATACTTTATCTTGGGGTGTTCATAACAAGCTCAGAAACTCTCTGTGATACCTATAAGCCTTTATATAACACATAGTAGTGGGTCTGCTCCATTAGGAAATGACCCCTAACTGGCAGCACACTGATATAAAGTCTTAGGGTTACAGCCGTGGGAGAAGAGTGAGTTGCTTCTGTACTGCCATCTCACTATGATTCCATAAAGAAAAATTGCAACTTTTGTGGAAGTTGGCAATACCTAGACTTCTAACAAGTGCATTTGAGATGCCTAGGGTATCTTTGCTTTCCTCTAACTGCCAGTCCAGAAGACCATAAGTGTCTCCCAATTCCTGTGTTGCGTCTGCCACATACAACCATGCAGATGTTTCATGCTTTAAGGAACCTCAGATGATAGCTGGAACAGGTTGCGGTTGTTGATGCCCCATGCCTGGAAACATTCAAGGTCAGGTTGGACGGGGCTCTGAGCAACCTGATCTAGTTGAAGATGTTCCTGCTTATTGCGGAGGGGTTGGACTAGGTGACCTTTAAAGGTCCCTTCCAACCCAAACCATTCTATGATTCTATGATCTGTGCTTACATGACTGAACCAAGCCCTAAGAGTGCTACTGTCATCTGCGTTCCACGGACACCTCCATTTCTCTGCCAAAGCCCTCTGGTTCTGTTCCTGCTCTCTACAGTCATTTGGTCAGCACACTAGTTGTCATTCAAACCTATGCAACCACTGGCAGGGTGGTGTAGTGGTTTTGCATGCACATACACACCTGCCATAATCCCCCTTCCCCTCAGAGCTGCAGATTTCTAGAACTCCACAGATTGTCCATCATGCCTCCTGATTACCTACCCCGCTGGACAGACTTTATTTCATAATTATTTTCTTGGTCAATAAAATTAACTAGCTATGCATTTTTTATTTTCATGAGATACTAAAGTGGAACCAAACAGAGAGAAAGACATTTGATGGCTCAACACACTAATCCCTGCTTGCTAAAGTATTAAAGAAGTTGACATTTGAAAAGCAGGAAACTACTGAAAAATTGGATCAACCTGATGACTGCAGAAAGAATGGTGTCTGTCTAAAACTAAATCTTTTATGGAAGGCATCTTTTCCTGGAAGTGTCTGAACACATTTATGAAATAGAATATTTCAGTTGAAGGGACCTACAATGATCATCTAGTCCAACTGCCTGACCACTTCAGGGCTGACCAAAAGTTAAAGCATGCTATTAAGGGCATTGTCCAAATGCCTCTTAAACACTGACAGGCATCCTTATGTTCATTCCTTAGATCTGACATTTCTTCCTCTCCCTTTATTCCTCCTATTTGTCAAAATTCATAGTCTTCACTTATTTTTCCTCTTGCTTATTTTCACTTATTTCTCTCCAAGACAGGTTGGATTTTGATAGTATTTTTGGTTAGTAGAATATATGTATATTGAATAACTAAGCTATATGAATAGCTCATATTGCAGGTGATAATGTTTTAATAATAATTAAGGTCAGATTGCAGCTGATGGACTTTGGAATGTGTATATTGGTTTTCATTTATATATGCAGGAACTTTTTGAAACTTTTCAAAATGTTTCATGTTACAAATACTGGTGTGTGAATGTTTAAGGATTTGATAACTGCTGGTGGATACAATATCTCAATCCAAGGAATTGTTCAAAACACGTATATGATACCTGATTTCATAGTTCTTTTTGTTTAGAATACAAAATAAACAAGTCTACATAAATATATGGAAATTAAAATGATCAGATCTTTTTTTCCAGTCTTAAAGCTTCTCAATGCAATAAATACTACATTAAAATTCCCTCTCTATTTTTTTCCTAAATGGGGATCAGAAATTAGAATAAGGTGACAGCAATTAAATTACCCTCATAATCTGTATGCATATACATTAAAGAAAGTCGTAGATTCCTGAATTACTTTTTCTAATAGTTGAAAAAGAGTCTTTTTTCATTTCTGCAATATACAGAGAAAACAACTGATAGGAGAGTGACGTATCAAAACTTTTAGAAGAGTAAGACATGCTGGCCGCTTTAGTCAGTGTTGTCAAAAAGGTAATTATAAAATGATGGGATGAGGAGAAGCTGGACAGCTGAACAAGAGGCAGGAAATAATGTTTCTTATTTTGTCAAAGCCTTTATAATGTTCCTTGGTAGTCCATATTGGGCTAGAGAGGGGCTGTCTGTAATCTATTATGCTATATATGTCTGTGCAGAGCAATATGTGGAGATCTCCCTCCAGAGCTGGAAGTGTTTCTGGACCCCAAACTAGTATTTCTGCAAAGCCCTGTGCCATGTCAGACTTTTTAAAGCTAATTCAGATATCTCTGGCATGCATTGCACTTATGTTTAAATGCATTTAAATATACGCAACATAATTATACATGATTTCTCCAAACAACAGCAGCTCCAAAAGCTGCTGGTTTTACATTCGAAGAGCATAAATGGACAGAGTTCTTCAAATGTTATAAACAAGATTTGTGAAAATGCTTTGCATCAGAAATATTCTAATTTCTGTTCAGAAATAAAAAATAATATGCAATGAATACCCTTTTATATTTCTTTAGAATTCATTGCATATCAGAAATGTAATAAAACATTTATTTACTATTAACATATTTCAATCAGAACTTTGCCCCAAGCCATATTGAATTAGCCGAAGGCAGTATTATTTTGTGCTCTTTCTCTGACTAAATACTAACAAATACATTATAGGCTAGCTGAATAAATAAAAAGGGATAATGTCAAACCCTTTAGGTTTGGTATGACCTTTATTTTATCTCTGGCAGGATAAAACTGATTTGCTTTTATAAAATTAACAACTCAAATATAAAAAGTTTATCTTTTTTTGTGTATTAGGTTGGGTAAAATTAGCTGGTGAAATTAACTGTTAATTTTAACAGTCAGTATTGTGAAACATTTTAATTGAATTAGTAAAGGAAAAATTTGCCTGCTAACAGTGAGTCACTCTATCTGACTGCAATTCATGTAAAGACATGACCTTCATTATTCACTACTCGCTAGTATACATACGTATTGTAGGGACTCTGTATTACATGTGTACCAATTCTTCCTCAGTTCATTTCATTTCTGCTCCTTTGTTATCCTTTTTCTATTTAAGAAGTTTTAGGAAAATACTTATTCGTAGTAATGTACCTATTGTTTCTCTTGAAAATTTTGTATATTAGCCTTTTAAATTAAACTCTCAAACTATAGAAGAAGCACTTTGCATTCCATCAGTTTCCCTTTGGTTTCTCTTACATCTTTCATTCTATTCCTCTGCCACCTCTACTTCTTCTACACGTTAGCTCTAGGCCTTGCTGTCATTGCCAGCTGTCCTTGTATATCTGTACATATGCTTATCTGTCCATAGTTCCTCCAGCTCCTTCGACATCTATATACCATAAGGAGAGGGGAGGGAGAACTAATTCAGGCCATCTATATTGTATAATTGCATTTCAACAATTAGACTGTTGAAATAGCCTCCCTTTGCTGCTGAACAGTGGTCTGAGTTTTCATGTCAGCAGACTAATGGGTAAGGTCATCTCTTGGGATGGGACACATTTTGTTCTTTAACTCAGACTGCATGGGCTTTTTACATAAGACTGATATTGCATTAGAAAATGAATAACCACATGAGGGGGAAAGGAACACCATGCTTTTCCCTTCCCAGCTGAATGTGTAAACCAGCAGGCTACAGAGATGCTTGTTTTGTTTTGTTATTCTTCTAACTTCATGCTTCTGGGGACAGTCAGATGTATTCTTACAGAAAAGTTGATGGAGTTTAAGAAGGAACAACCATGTGAAACAGGGCGGTGCTGGGCTGGCTTCTGAAAACTGCTAGAGCTTTTTTTATGAAATGGAGGAGTCAGAACTAGTAAATGTCACAGTATGTGCTTGTCTCTTGTATTGAAGAGTTACTGAATAAACACAGAAATAGTTAAGACAGCTAATTATGGAACTGCAGATACCTTGCTTCCTGGCTTAATACGCTAAAATCAGGTTCCTTTCTGCCTATTGTTCTCCTCCCCTTATGCCTGATACATTCTTGGACACAGAATAGTAAATAATAAAGGCTACTCTTATTGAATAGTCTTGCTGAATACTCTTGTAGTCTTGTTGACTATGGCAACCTGCGCTAGCTGGCTCTTGCTTGAGGTTGGACTAAGGGGTCTCTAGAGGTCACTTCTAGCTTCAACAATTCTGTGACTAAGTCATCTTCTAAGAAACTGCAGATCTACTGCTTCCTGGGGAAATGCCCTGATCAGTAGCTGTTTACGCTTAATTCGATGACAGGTTTCAGTTTAATTCAACGTAGTTCAAATACCTAGGCTTGAAGCCTTTTTTTCTGGCAATTTGAGATCCTTTTCAGGAGAGTTATGCAAAGAGTCGTATCTTACTTGAATTCTAAATACCTTTTAGTAGGAGACTGATGCCTAGATACGTTTAGTAAGGCCAGGGTGAGAATTGCTTTCCAAAGTTGTAAAAATGATTTAATTAAGTTCAAGTTCTTTACTGCTGAAATCTTGTCTTTGTTTTTGGTTGGGTTCTTTTGTTTGTTTGGTGTTTTTTTTCCCCCAAGAAGTTTTTTATTTGTTTAATATATTTAGTAGATTTCTTTTGTTTATCTCTGTCTTTTGTGGAAAATTCAGAAACACAATGTAGACTAAACTCTCACTGTAATTCAGTGTTCCCCTAAATCTTGAAAACGTCAATGCTTTTTAGAAAAATTGAATTTAATCTGTAGCCTTGGTCGCTGTGCATCCAAGAAAGCAAAATTTGTCTGGTTGGTATAATGGGCAAAAGAGTCTTCAGATTTTAGAATTCAGCCAGGAGATGAGAGATCTGTGGATCTGACTTCTCAATCAGTTCTAGTTTTATCCTGGAGTACA